AAATACTTTATTATATATAACTTATCTAATTTACAAGTGGTTTATTATTTCATAACCTCCTTCATAGTGATATTTATATTGATATAACCTCTCTATTCTCAATAAATTCTAGAGGTTATAATTATTTTTACCCATGTAATCATGAGAGAAGTTTCAATCCTCTCTTTTAATTGAGTCTAATTCTTTTAAGACTCCCACTAGACTTAATTCATTTTATCACATACTTCAAGTAATGTTTTCTTTTTGAAAAATATCTCCAAATTGAGGGGCTTGGTGAAAATATCTGTAATTTGATCATCATATTTAATGTAATCTAATAAAACTTCCTTCTTCTTGATTTGGTCTTGAATGAAATGGAAGGAAACGTCGATATGTTTACTTCGTTCATGGAAGGCCGAGTTAACTTATTATAAATATTTATCTTTGTAGCTTGATGTTGTGCATAATTGACTTCATTCAAAAACTTCTTGAGTCATATAATATGGCATACACATGATGATGTCAATATATATTCCACTTCACATGTAGACAATGTCATAGTAAATTACTTCTCTGAATACCAAATGAAAATGATATCATTCATATAAAAAAATGATTGTACTTTTTAATATCTTCTAGAGCTCCATCCCAATCATTATCAAAATAATCAATAAATTAAAAATTATTAAAAATAAATATATTATTCCATGAGTTATGGTATTTTGATATAGCATAAATTTTTTTTAGCGCCCTTTATGTGTGTTGACTTTGGTTAATCCATAAATTGACTTATTAATCCGATTTCATACAGAATATCTGATCTTATGCAAATTAGATATTTCAAGCTTCTTACTAAACTTTTAAAATATATTGTATCAATTGTATCACTAGCATCTTGTCTTGAAATTTTGATGCATAAATATTTTGAAAATCTTCTTTGCATATCCTTCTTGTGAAATAAAAATATCTTCTTTACTTTGCTTCACTTTGATACCAAGAAAATAAGACATGAGACTAATGTTAATCATTTTAAATTCTTAAATTATTGTTTGTTTGAATTTTTTAAATATAAGTGAGTTGCTTCTTATAAAAATAAAATCATCTATATACAAGAAAATAAGTAAGATATCTCTATTTTTGTTCATCTTATTGTATATGACATTTTCATAAAGACATTGGTCATAACCATTTTGCTTAAAGTAAACATCAATTCTAGTGTTCTTGAAATAAGATGTCTCTATTTTTGTTGATCTTCATATATGGGGCACTTGCATAAGAACATTTGTCATAACCATTTTACTAGTTTTAAGTCATACAAAACCTTCTTTAACTAACTTTCTGTTCATACCCCTTTTTAATGTACCCAATGGTTATTCTATATATACTTCTTCTTCAAGTAAAACATTAAAAATATATATATTTAACATCCATTTGATAAATTAAGTAATTATTTTATATGATAATGAATATAATCAATCTAATAGATTTTATTTGAACAACAAGGGCAAATATCTTATTATAGTCAATGTCAAATTTTTGCCCGTAACTCTTTGTCACTAATCTATACTTATCAATTTGATCTGAAGTATTTTTTTATTTTTTAAACCTACTTCACATCAATAGTATTTTGTCCTTGAGGTAGTGAAGGTAACTCTCAAATTTTATTTCTCTTGATAGAGTTGATTTCTTTATCCATAGTATCATTTCGCCTTTTATTTATCATCAAATGATTCACTATCTACAAAGAGACAAACAAGATGTAATTTATCGGTTACTTCTTATACATATTTTATATTTCTTATCCTTTAAGGCACTAGGCTATCTTGTAGAGATGATTGTGTAGAAGAAGAAAAATATGTCGACAATAATGATGATCATGGTGGTAAAGCAACCGTTTACTTTTGTACATCTTCATATAACTCTTCGATATTGCTTTCCTAATTTAATATATCTTCTTCATTAAACTCTACATCCCTATTTATAATAATCTTTAAATTGTCAGGATAAAATAATTTGTAGGCATTGGATTTAGAGCCATACCCAATAAAAATAAATTTGGAACTTTTGTCCTCCAACTTGTTCTTACTTAATTAAGTGCATGTGCATAACCAATGTGATAAAAAATCTTAAAGCATGGGACACTCTTTTTTTTTTTTTTTTTTTTTGTTCTATGTCTCTTATAGAGTTTTGTTCTCGAAGCTCGATTAGGATACTGATTTCAGAATTATCTAGTTCTTTCTCTCTATCATACGATTTTATTAGGAGAATATGGTTCTGTGCAAGGTATGCCATACCGATTCGTACCGCCCGATACGGGCGGTACGTACCGGTCCGAGAGGCGACCGGTACGCAGACCGTCCACTACCGGGCGGTACACCCAAAAAATATCCCGTATCGGACGTTACGGGTAATATCGGGCGGTAACGGTCGAAATTTCGACCGTTACCGCCCGGTACCACTCGGTAACAGTCGAAATCGACCGATACCACTCGGTAACGGTCGAAACCGATCGTTACCACACTGTAGCAGTGCTATGGTGCTCCAACGGTCAAATTGACTGTTGGAGCCCTTTCTCCTCCTATTTAAACCAATCTTCTCTCCCCTATTTCATTATACTCTCTTAAACTCTTTCTCAAACATTTTTTTTCTCACATAAACTCTATAAAACAATGATTTATGAATTCAATCGAGGCTAATTTGGGAAGATTAAGAGGAAGAACTTTCTAATCAAGAAGTATGTATTCGTTTTCTTTAATTAGAGAGTAATTAAGATATTTAAGATTATGATTAGTATTTTTCATGCATAGTAAGTATTGAATAATATTTATCATAGTAAAATAATTTTAATTAAATTTTATTAAAGTTATTTAATGCTGCAATTAGTTATTGTAATGATGATTTAATTGAAATTTATTTGATTTTATATCAATTTAATGTCTTTAATACCTATTAGGGTATTTGTTATGTTTATAGTGGTGAAAGAGAAGTAATTAGTGAAAAATTAATTATATTAATCATATAATTAGTGTAGATAAATGATAATTTTATCATAATTTGAATTTTGAATCATATTGGATTAAAATTACATATTTAATATTTTTTTATGTGTTTAACATATATATGATGGTAAAATAAGTTTAATTATGTTTTATTAAAGTTATTTAATACTGTAATTAGTTATTTTAACGATGATTTAATCAAAATTTATTTGATTTTATGTGAATCCAATATCTTTAATATCTATTAGAGTGTTTGCCATGTTTATAGTGTTGAAAGAGAAATAATTAATAAAAAATTAACTATATTAATCATGTAATTAGTGTATCTAATGATTTTAATACTTCTTTTATGCATGTAACATATTTATGATAATAAAATATGATTAGTTATGTTTTAATAAAATTACTTAATATTGTCATTAGTGATTTATGATCGATATTTGGTCAATTTAATATGTTTATACTTTATAATTTATTTGATTTAAATTTGATAGGATCATGGCACCAAAGGAACAGCCACACGATGATGCATGGGTTCATGCCCGAAAGCTAGATGGAAACCGTCATCATTGGCAATGTATTTATTGTGACTACATTGGTAAAGGTGGAGGAATAACTCGAGTGAAAATGCATTTGGCTGGTGGGTATCCTGATGTTGCAAAATGCAAGAATGTTCCAACGGAGATCCGTAAATTATTTCAAAGCAAGCTTAAACAAGCAAAGGAAGATACATTAAAAAAGAAGGCAAGAGTTGAGGAAAAATATCATAGGGCTACACAGGAACCAGTTTATGATCAGTATGAGGGTTGCAACGATGAAGTCGACCCGGATCTCACAGTTGGGATTCGTACATCATTGGAGCATCAGTATACGGTCGATGAAGCAATGAGGCATCGACGACCTGACTTACAATTAGAGCATGGCAATGGTAGTGGAATCCAGAGGTCAACCAGCATGAGGCTGTTGGGAAATCA